TCAGGTACAACTCAAATATTTCAAATTCAGCTCCAAGCTATGTGTGATACTTACGCAAGGACTTATGAAAGTTCCTGCGGAAAAATTACTAACTCGGCAACTAAAAAAGGCAGAAGGTTGAAACTTGATGGGGGATGTTCCTCTCCAAGTACAACTTAAATATTTCAAATTCAGCCTTGAGGCGCGCGTGGTTAAAATAAATAAAACATACGATAACAATAACAATCAGTCAAAAATACCCCTAAAAAAAACAAAGACAAAAAAAATTAAAAGATCTATAAAAAATACGAGATAAAAAATAATGTTTCCTACAAAAACCCCTAGTAAACAATAACCCACACAAACGGGCACTTAAAATTTTGACTGAATATCTGGCTGAGCAACTAAGTTACTTTTAAAGAACGATCGTTAAATGAAAATTGTACATATACTTTATGCAAAATTTATGGTGATTTGTGCAAGTGACCGCAAAAGGTAAGTGTAAAGCAACAACCATTCATGCAGTTAATCACCTGAGTACTTCATGTCCTGTGCAAAAACACATGATCGCACGGGCCCGCCCGGTGCGTTCTAGCCTGGGTTTTTTTTATTGAAATGAGACTTTGTTGAAAAATAAAGTTCTGGTACTCTTCACTGTCTTCCGCTGCTGCAGTCGAAGACCATGTAAGGTCCTAACACCAAAACTTTTTGAGTTGCTTCAATTGTGAAGCACTGTGAAGGACTATGATGATTTCGAGGGAACTAATCTGAACAAAGAAGTTAAAGAAAACGATCTGCCGTGGACTGGCTTAATTGCATTAGTGATCCTACGCAGGGGTGGACATAGTCGAAAGCGCACCGGCTGCTGGTACGAAGATGCGGTTTTTGCACAGTTCCCCACGCAGGTTTTTGTTGCTAATGGCAATACTTTTTTCCGGCAGATATTTCTGGCTAAGAGAATTAAGAGTAGTCACCACGGCTGTTGGAAATAATTACAATAACTCCCAATCCATGCCCAACAAATTCAGTATTCTAGGTGATTCGGTTGCAGAGTTACGTAGAATTTGACGTGTTCGTGTGTGATTGAAAACGCTAATGCTGTCTTCGCGTGCGATTGCTCAAACAGAGTCCTGGGCAGCGCTCAGAAACTTTTAGCACTCTGATTGCTCTGGTTGCTGAGTTACGTCAAATTTCATATGTTCGTAGATGAAACGTGAATGCTTTTTTGATGAGTAGAAACGTGAATGCTTTTTTGGCGTGCGGTTGCTCGAGCGCGGTCCTAGGCAGCGCCCAGAAAATTTTAGTGGTCTAGTGTTTTAGTTGCGAAGTTACGCCAAATTTTGCATGTGTGCGTAAGGCGTGAAAGTGATGGGCAAATCGTTTTTGCATCTATCTGGTCAAAGGCCACCGTTGGCTATGTCCAGAAAGTTCCAGTCCTCCAGCTGCTTCATTTTGAAGTTACGAAAGAGTAAGCGCGAATATTCACGTATCCGTACGTGACATGAAAAAGAGCCGGAAAATCAATTTATTTTCACAGGCACAGCAGTAGACGACAAGTAACGCTGCAAAAATTACAGCTCTCTACAACTTAATCTTCAGATTAAATTTGGTGTTAGTGTGATGCCAGTTCAGGTTTTGACGCGTGCATACGCGAGGCCTAGGGACACTTGAAGGCTGAATTTGAAATCTTTGGATTAGACGTTGCCGTGGAACATCTCTGTGACACTCCAGTCTCCTAGTTTGCGCAGTTCACGAAAACGCTTTCTCGCCTAGAAAACTTCCACTTTTCCGTACGTAAGAACTGTCCCTACCTGAGCGTCTATTTGGAACATAGGAGCGCGCGGATTAAGCTGCAAAGTTTCAGCCTTGTAGCTTTTTTCGATTTCGAGATGAAAATTCGCTATAGACGCGCACAAGACACACATACATACACACACAGACAGCACCTTGACAGCATGCGTTTTTGCATTGCATGGATGCAAAAAACGCATAAAAACGGGTCATTATCATGGTACACATAAAGGTGAGAGCACAGCTGGTTTAACTTTTGCGAAGAAACAGGAGTTTATTTCGACAGAGCGAATTCCTTACAAGCGTAATGTATTTCGCTCCTTTGAGACAACGGGTTTTGCGCTAACACCTGGCATCTACATGATGGGTAAATATCTGGGAAAACCGCCACCTAAAGCAAGAAGAGCGGGGTCTCAATCGACTTTTGCTGAGATTAAAAAATCTACTGCTAAATGAGGTCGTATGCGGCACAAAAACTGTCTTTCAAAGTTGAAATGCTGCAAAGGAAAAAAAAGGAGCGAGAAACAAGGAAGCGAAGTTGGACGCTCGTTCCCCTTCGCCTTGTCCAGTTGCCCTTCTGTTTCCTGTTATATGTAAATGCCCCGTCTCTTGGCTCGAGTTCCCCCCTCCGTGATATTTAATGTGATAATTGAAAATGAAATAGGGAGTGTGCAATTTTTGCTTTTGTTAAGCGGCGGCTAAATGTGTTCGGCGGCAGCTTGGAGCTGCTGCCGGGCGACTTCTGGCTAGTTATTGTTTTCTTTTCTTTTTTTTATTTTCTTTGATATTGGTCTAATAAATAAATTTTACTTGTTGTCACACTCCCCTCGCCAGACAGTCCGACCCCATTCCCAGCTCCCCTCCGTTACGGAAATGCAAAACCTTACCCATATGTAACTCTTTACAAACTTCTTGTTCAATGTACGATTTTCTTCGGGAAGATCACCGTTATCATCGAATTGCTTTTTCCCTAAGCGATTTGGTGTAACATTCATCGCATCTGCCGCTTCCTGAATAATACAGGTGCAGAAAGAAACGTAATTAAAACTGTATACAAAGGCGCCAAACTTTGTCATGATCTGTGGATTCTCATCAAACAGCTACTGCCAGTGGAATTCCTGAACGAAGTCTACCCAAGGGCGTGGATGTTGGTAATTTGAAGTGTG